GACCTCCTCCCACTGCTTTGCGAGGTGTCTCGATGTGCTACTCTATATACGTCCATGTAAGGAAAGCAACAGAGTTTACACTTTTAAACAAGGATAGCCGGAAGTTGCGATGTGTACAAGAGGATGGTTTGTCTCAAATTGTCTTCAGTTCAGTTAAACAACTATGATGCAAGCACCGAAGTGCGATGAATCTAGTTGCCACGACTCACACCGTACGAATAACAAAAACTAATAATAGTAGGGTTGAATGCAATTAGAATATAGAAATACAGAAACAAGGAGGAAATGCGTTAAACTAGTCAGCATGCAACTAAAATTAACAATCAGATGAAAGCAACCGAATGCAGGAACGTCACTAACTGCGTGGATGCGCCATGTCTGACATGGTCTCCAAACATTTGTGTGAACCGTCCCGAGGCCCCCATTTCTTCATACTTCGATGTCACGTCCTGAACTGGCCACCACTAGGTCACCCTCAATTTGGTGCAACCACGGCTTATAATGCACACCAAAGAATCCGATCAACGGGCATACGGAAGACATAGCCTAGCCAACGAAAGCGACTAAGATTCAGCAAACAATCGAGTGAAGCACCAGAAGGCTTTTTGCCGAAAACCAACTGGCAGACTTCAGCATTGCTCCTCCGGTGTTCCTACCAGACGTGAGCAAGCACCGGTGGTCAAACACAGCCAAGCTTTTACTCTCTGATTCGTAGAGTAACACCGGCCTCACCGCAGCGTTATACACCCTAGCTTTCACTGACAAGCTGATATCCTGCCGTCTCCATAGATGGTTGGGCCTCTGGAAAGTCACACGACCCTTACTGATACGCGAAGTGATGTAACCACCCGAGGTGACACAGCCTCCAAGGTAAGTGAACCGATCCACCACTTCCAGTGACTGTTCGAAAATAACTAAAACCGGTGTGTCGGCCCAATCTTGCAACAGCACTTTGCACTTTGAAGATGCAAAGCACTTGCCTAAGCGTGCAGTGCTACTCGTGTCTATCCAGCCACTGCGTCAGACCCAAGGAGAGCGACGTCGTTCACATACTCCAGGTTTGTCTGTCGGTCACCTGGCAGAACTTACACTCCGGTAGAGACTAAAAGAACGGAGTCACTCTCATGCCCATTTCGATAACAAAGTTGAAGAAGAAAGGAAATATAGGACGACTTTAGCGAACACTACTTTCGTGGGGATCTCAGGGGACAGTTTCCCATAGACCCTTACCCGGCCTTGGGAGTCACGGTGGCGAGACTTCCGAATGGGAAGGGGTTTAGCTGGTACACCCTTTATGAATAGGCAGTGCCACAAGCTGGCACAATCAACAGAGTCGGAGCAAATTTTCGAGTCAAGGAAAGCCGCCATATTCCGTTGCCTGTATATGTCTGCTTTAAAACTTAACGAAGAGTACATATGCTGCCGATGTAATCAGGACCGGGGTGGAAGCTAGCCTGCTTTTCAACGATTCGCTCTCATGGGGACCAGTAACTCGTCGATGAATGATACCCATGTGGAGTTTGGTAGCAGTGGATGGTTTTCGCTGAACTATCTTGAAGATGCGCACGATAGTTGACAGTCGTCAGTCTGAAGGCACCTCTTTAGTGTCTGACATTTTGTTAAACATAGGAGCAGATCCGGTCAACAAATGGTCATCTCCATCTTTCCGGAACGATGGATGAAGGTCATCGAATCCAGAAGCCTTGGTTCGTTTCAACACGGATAGCTTATGTCGAATTTCTTCCAAAGTGGTAGGTGTGGCGTCAACTTCCCATGTCAGCTCAGGCTATCCAGCAAGTGGCAGTGTCTCAGCAAGCCTCCTGAACTGCTTTTCAGAATGTTCCGCTTAACGGGATAGTCGAGGAAGCTAAGAATAGACCAACCGTTCATCTTTCTCCACTATTGTCTAACTGATAGCTTTCTCGAACCCGTGTTCCGGATGAGCTGAACTAGCACCCGGCTGTTCCCAATTGCATTGGCTTTCTCCATCTCACCGGCTCTTTCAATCTACCAACGTTCCCGGTCAATTTGAAAACTCTTTGTCAGATGTCGTTTCAGGGTGTTGCGGACACGCTGGAACTCAATACTAATGGGCACCTGTTTCTGTGCTTCGGTCAAACTAATCGATGTCTCAGAGATTCATTCACAATTTGGACGTTTCAAGTTGAACGTACAGCAGTCGTCAAAACTTTTCTTTATTGAACACTTGAGACCATTCCACAGCGTTCGGCTCACCATCCTCATTCATCGTTGGCAATTGGTGGGCCAGTTCGTTGTGAGGTTTTACTCCTTTCGTCCCTGGAGCTTCTCACAAGCTTAACCACAATCCAGAAAAACACCAGACGCGTTTCACCCTATTGGGGCTCGTCAGTGGTGTGCATTCTTTCGGTCCCCTACTGGGCATCGAGCCCATGAGCGCTTGAGGCTGACGCCAATCAGCCAGCAGCCTAAGCCACTGAGCCATGAATGGCGGTGGCAGGGCTACATGATTTGCAAGCGAACTGGGATATAACACGACCTATCTGCTACTGCCACGCAGGTTATTACTTTTGCAGATAATATGATATTCTCTAAATGCTGACTGTGAGTTTAACTTACAGACAAGTAGGTCACAAGATAAGCGCTTCTTTGAAGCTGGAAGAGTGAGCGCCAAGCGTGCTCGCACTAGAGCATGGTCCGAATGCAGACGTGTGCTCCAAATTGACCGTCAGTCTTGGACTGATACACGCCATCTGTAGCTGGTGGCAATATGATCAATTTGGGACCACATCGTTAAGGAATCCGGTGCGCGCCAGGTGTATGTCTGTGTCGGAAAGCAGGGCGGCTGATGTAATGGTTGTGATAGGCGCACAGTTGCAGGAGTCGATCACCATTGTATGTTCGACGTACATCGACTCCGAAGCGGTCTCCCAGGTGCCGTTCAGAGTCTGAAAGACCACTCACTTGGGCATTCATGTCACCAGCAACAATCAAGATGTCAGTGTTTTTCGAAATACGAAGAATTAGTGAAAGGTGATAGAAATGGTCTTTGATGCCCTCTGAGCAGCATTCAGTAGGGGCATAAACTGCGGCGATGAAAAGGTTGGAAATCGAACCGCACACATGCGGCTGTTCACCGGCATCCAGTTGAGCAGAGTGATTTCAGCATGTTTGCTGAGAGCGATACCAGCACCTTAAATACTTTGAATTTTTGTCTTGGTATCACTAGAGACGCGAAAAGTGTCGTCGTTTTCGTCAAATTCAAAATCACGGAGTCGAAAATTCGTCACAACGATATTACTTAGTATACGCGTTTCGGTGCCAGCACACATCAATAACAAAAGAGTGAAGAGTGAGAGTTAGTGCTGCCTGTTGGCCAATCTGACCAAAAGCGCGGACGTTGAAAGGACCGATGTGAAAGGACTCTAGCTATGATGAAAGAGTTGCATGTTTCGATAGCAGTAACTGCGAAGTCCGCGTCGGTCTTTTACTCAGTAGATGGGGAAGGGAGGGGAGACGGGAAAGAAAAATAAGAAGAGGGTGTTGTCGAGGTAACAGATGATGTTCTCCGGCTGTCTATTCCAAGAGAGAGCTTTTGTTCTAAGTGCCCTACTTTTAGTCTTTAACAGTCTGACCTACAAGGCAGTGAGGAGGAAGTCCAGCTCGCGAATGTGATCGCAGCGACCCATTGGGATCTACTCGAGGCCAGTCACACATAGACTTAGAAGCTTTGGAGCAATTTACATGTGTTTTACTACCGTGGTATGTTGGGCCCTTATGACCACGGCCAGCCGCAGGGGGGGAGTTGGCGGGTTTGCACCAATTTGACCAGGGGCTGCCTGGCTTGAGGCGGGCGGGAGCAAACCATTATGCACTTGAAGGTACCCTCCCACCGTCAGAGAATGCGTGGCGCTCGTGCTGTACGCCAATCAACCTGTGAGCTTATAACCCGCAGACCTGTTGTCTCCTGTGGCTAGGTTTTAGCGGAAGAGGGCCATCGATCTCTCCCTAACCTTCGAAGAGGATTCGATTGTGAGGCTTAGTCTGACCCCTACTCATTGACTTGTTTGATATGAGTGGCTCTGAAGGCACTTTGAAAATGCCACCCAGCTTAGCTCATTGGCTCACGCATGTACGCAAACCATCGCACCACGCTAAGATCCAGTCTCGCTGAGATGATCTCAAATTTTGTACCATTGACTGGATACCTAGATCTCATGACCAGTTCAGTGGTTATTTCAGCGCAATCCGCCACCAAGCTCCGTCTTCGCAATTTAATAGTGAACTGTGTTTATCTTATGCAGGGCGCTAGTTGATTTGTTTTTATCGATTACCATTATTTGTGCCAATGGTTGACCGGATGTACTACAATTGGCAAATGACACCATATTAGTTAGTGGATGAAACTATGAGTGGAGCATAAACAAGTGTTTTTCCACTCTTATATCCTGTCGTAGTGATCACTGCCACGTCAACGAACTTCCGCAGCCAATGATCTCGTTCTTCTACTGCGAACCTCAATATTGCTCATTGCCTTCTGCCTCCCGATACGTCTCATAGAGGTGGCCGCTGAGACGGCTTGTCGGGCACATATCTCAGCCACCTACTCCTGCTCAGAACTTGTCTCACTTGAGAGCTGTCTAGTCAGTGTAATGTTTTTCACTACGGAACGGTTGCTTTTATATATAACAGTTTCAGCCCAGATACTATGCCAACGACAACTAGCTGCTCTTTGTATCTTGAGCCCTTGCATTCGCCTGCTCCCCCTTCTTCTGATTTTGTGTGGTTATAAACTAATTCTCTCAGTTACTATCAAAGTTCCTAACTTCAGGTGGACTGAAAGTTTTTGGTGTCATTCGTCCCCTGGAAATGCATAAAGCCAATCCTAGGATCAAATTTCCGCATCATCCCATAATTCCGGTAATTTTTGTGAATCCCTTTGCGCCGTTAACCACATTTATGTAATCTTATAACAACTATGTACTTCTTACCGTCCTCTTTCTGCTCTGCTTCGGTCACAGGAAGCCGCATTGGTAGGCAGCCGAACGCAGTGAAATTTCATTGTGCGATTGAAATCAAACAGTTGCGTTCGCTGCGTGGCAGCTATTCCAGCCAAACTGACACGTTTCCCGCCTCCTCCAACCCATATGGTCCACCGTACGGGGTCGATACGGCTTCGCTGCACAACCGGAGCGATGTAGAGAGCCCGAAATACAGTCCGGACACATTGACACCCACATACTCCACCAAACGCACAGGCGACTCCAGTGTCTGGCTTGGTGATCAGAAGCCACCGTTGTCACTGCTGCTCCTGTTCCCTCGAGCCTCCGAACCGATCGATGTGATGTCCACTTGCACCGGCTACACCGACGACACCAGCACGCACCGCGTGGTGAGCTACTCCCCGAGCTTCACGCGATCCGCCACCACTTCGAACCGTGCAGACCTCCCTGCTGCCGCCAGATCGGTGTCCGAGACCAGTGGAACCGACTCTTTCCCACGTCCTTCAAGACTTACACTATCTCAGGACAGACAAAAGTTGGTGAGTGGTGGTTGTGCATGCTGATGGTTCTGTACCTTGGGGCTTTCTGCATATCACACAACCACCACATCGACCCCCATTGATTGTTCTGTTGGCACATTGCTAATCGTTACTTTGTTTGCTCTCGTGTATGTGTTTTGTTCGTGCATGGGTGTGCATCCCAGTGCGTGATGTTATCTTCTTAAATACGCACACACACTCACCATGCGTATGATCGATTTATCGTGCAAACACGTGTTTATCCAACGGCATAGTAACCGTCCGTTTTTTGCGACAACGCACGTTTACTTACACATGCTCGAACGTGTTTGCTTTGCCTATAAGTTTGCCTCAGTGAACTTGTTCATCACCGATCCACTTGCTGGTTCGGTGTAACACATCATAGGCAATAACTATTGGGCTTACTCTGTCTAAACACGGACGAATCAGAAATGAACGCAAATGTGAATGGCACACTCCTCCCACAGCCCCCTCTCCTGCGGGCGCTTTTTGACTGGTGCTGAACGCGTCGCGACAGTTCTCTGCCGACAGGTGCCAGTAGACTGTCGTGCAAACTTGCGTGAACCCTTCACGGGCCCAATCTGATTCCATAGTTTACGCTGTGTGTGCGGTTCCATTAACTACACTACTTGGCCCCAGTGTCATCAACCACGCGTTATCCGACACAATTAGACAGAAAAAATTTGGGGCACCTTAGCAACATTACTTCTCCATTGTGACTTGTGTACTTGGAGGGGTCGCTGAACCTTTACGCTTTTTCCATCGTTCCCGTATTTCACGCGAACTCCATCGGAATATCCAACTATCCACACTGTAGCGATCAAGTTTTACAGTGGGTATTTTCACACATTCTCTAGGTTTGCGGTTCGCATCATTGCCCCGAATATTGCCTATAAAGTGAGTTGCGTGATTGTGCTTCATACCGGTCGGCACTCCAACATCGCTGCACATGACGCGTTTTGCAATACGAAGACAATTAGAGTTACCAAGTCTTCAATGGAAGCGTGCCATCGACATTCCACTGTCTGTCGAAATTAGAGTTGATTACCGCCATTTACTCCATGCTCAGAAACGATGAGATAAACACTGGCATCCATGTTTTGTGATTAAGCTTGTGGTCGCCATGTTCACAAATCCATACCACGTCCATTGCATCCACGCGCGTCCACATGGCTCCGCATCTGCTGGCCGAGTTACCCTGTTTTCGAAGCTTGCTCGCCTATTTTTTTTCTCAAAAGGCCAATCGTCACCAAGTAAAGTATTCCGAATTCGGCATTATCCATCGAAACTTGATCATCAACAACCGTTGTTTCCGTCGAAACTGCTACCCGAAGCGAGTCGAATACTTGGCATCTCTGCTTCAGTAGCGTTGTATTCGTCATTTCATTTTCCGCGGTTCTACCCAAATAGCATCGTTATTAACCGATTGCAAACCTGGCTACATGGGACAGTATTCAATTTACTTCTTGTCAGTAAACTGCTTTCTTTTTACCACTATATTCCATACAACGCCTCTGTTCCTTCCTTCTTCCCAAAGCTAACCCATGTTTGCCTGGCTGAACCCTGCTATGCTAAGCAAAAGAAATAAAACGATAATTTGCTCACAGATCTCAGTGGCATACTGATCAAGGCGTCAACCGCTAACCACTATGTGCCGTGTTCCATTCTTAGATCATGCTATCTCTACCTGATGAATCCAAACGAGGACGAAACCTGTCCTTTGAATGCATTGATGGAGGAGAGTGACACTAAAACCCCTCGGAATGAATGAGATCTACTTCAAAGTAAACCAAGGTCCCAGTAGTGATTGAGTGTCGCCGTCCACTCACACGGCGAATACTCCAAAGCGCACCTTTGAAAATCGTACCCTATTTGCACTAACCCCCATATTGTCCAGCAGCAGCGGTAGTGAGCTTTTGATCCTGCTCGCCGCTGGAACACCGATTGTGACCATATGCCACCCTACCACGTCCTTTGCACTTGAAATCATCTAACAATCACTCAAAGTGGTTACCCACTGGTTTGTGTCCAGTTAACAATACCATCCCCAGTGACTGAAGGCGCGTGGCGATAATGCCGCATGGTTTTCTATACCTCTGGAATCTACTGGAACGACTGATCACCGGTTCATCACCAGGATCACAGCACTGTAAGGTCTACCGGGGTTATTGTGTGTATCAGAAACGTTGGAACTCTCCGACACTGTTCCTTTTCATCACTACGGCTTGCGAATCATTATCCATACCTCGTACACTCCCGAGGGTGTGTCTACTGACCGCAGTTTCGCCTCAAATCCTCTGTTGCCGTACAGAACCGTACCTTGAACATGAATTGCACACTACCACATTCTCCACATGTCTGTCAACCGCCCAACTCGGTGTGCGTCGTTCTCTGCTAATATGTCTGGTTAGGGTGACACTCGGTGGTATGTCATAGCAACCTAGCTACATGTTACCTTCTCGGACGAGCGCTTCGGAATTAGCATCATCAGTAGTTAGTGATATATGCTGCGTTCATGCTCTGCTCGTCAGTCTGCTAATTTCCTTTCCATCCAACACGCTCACCTTCTTCCCGTCGGCCTTAGTTTATTCATCTTTCTGTCAACTGTATTCACCATGTACTGCTTAACTAGATCAAACTGAATCGCTTGCGTCCGTTTGACCTACCTGACAAAGGAGGCGATATCTTAATGCGTGGCTGACGTCACAGCCCTTATACATTGTAGCGTATATCCTTCACCGTTATCATAATGTCCTGCTTCATCCAATCTTATTGTTGTGATGGTCAACATTTATCAAACTACTCACTGCTGCTCGGACAGTGGAACAAAATAGAGTGCGTCGTAATTGGTCAACATGACCATCCAGTGTCACGGCAGCTTAGCCACCTTTACAACTAAAAGATCATGTCATCACAAACGCATGACCTTCGTAATTGCATTGGCTTCTGGTGGCTAAGTACACCCAAGACTTTGACAACCCTTGTTGGTGAGTTTCAAAACAACGGAATCTGAACACAGGCAAATGTGAGTAGCGATTAAACAATCATACACGCGCACACATTCACACACCTTGTTGCCCAACCGAGTATCGTCGTGAGGACGGCGTGCCCACGGCTCACGGTCTTGCTTACGATATGCGTGGTAGAAACTGGGATGTTCTTCAAGGAATTTGGATAGATGAAGGACGAACCTCCGAGCTCTCATGCCAACGGAGTACAAAGGCTGAAACCCCACTCCTAAATTGGGTACCCCTATTCCGCCTTATAAAAACAATAATATTACATTTATTCACCAAGCGAGACTTCCTACATGGGGACGGATCATTAGGTACCCGAAATCGTAACGACAGTCGCATGCCATTAGAAATCAAAGTGGCCAAGTATATGTGGGAAACGACATAAATTAGGAAGTGTAGCAGCATTGTGCTTTGTTACGCCATGTCATTCATGCGAAGCAAAGGGAAAAAGAATTACTGTGCACTTGTCTCGGGAATTGTGAACGGGAACCTAAACATGTGAATCTCTAATTTTAAAAGATTTGGGATTAGAGTAGTTTGCGGCCACGGATAATCCCAATTTTGACCTTTAGGGGTGTCGATGAAGAGGTCAGAGAAAACCAGTGTGTATAAAAGCCATCATCACGTGATTTCAGGGCCGCTGTCGTGGTCCACAGAGTGCGTCCTTGTTTAAGACGTTTTCAAGTGCGACGGATACCTTTTGCTTTGGAGCAAGAAATATGACCTCCCAATGATTAGGTGTTCAGCAGGCAGCAATTACAGAGGAGAGGAAATGACGGGCATTGAGCAGTAATGACTGGTAAGACAAAATGAAGATAAAAGGCCTTGGCGGAAATTATATATCAGACAAAAATTTTAGTAAGCCCATCCTACGTGATTATTTAATACTTTAACTGGGTCTGAGCAAACGTGCACAACGAAAGCAACAGAAAATAACAGAATAGGACCTTTTTGTAAACGAACTGTTTAGCAAATAAGTCTAGCTTTTCCTACCTAGGTTCCAAGAATATCTGAAAACCGATTAGCTAGCTGTAGAGAACATTCCGTTATAAGTGGGGCTGTTTGTAGTTATCTCGATCAAACTGACTGCGCAAAAGCCAAAAATGACGCTTTTTGTCGGTATTCCTTTTTGACCAATAACGAATAATTACTCTGTCAAATGCAATAAGTCAGTATTCGGCATTGTACTCAACATCAGTGCAAACCATGCCCAGAAAAACTAGCTTTTCTAGACGTACTGATTTTTTTGGGAACTACATCAATTTCACGCATTTTCTTTTGTGATAGTATGCGAATCGATGTGCACCTGTGAGATACAAGTGTATGGTCGATTTAATTTCGACCATTTTTTAGATATTCACGTCTGTGTTATGCTTGGCGGCATCCGGTTTCGGATTTGCCTGTCACTGTGGCCAGCCACAGGACGCCTGCGCCTACAGAGGGACTATGGGTGGCTGGCGCTGAACCACCCACAGCTCCATCCACACACCCCATATCCAGTGTAAACGCGAAGGAATAAGACCGGGAGGCATGTGGATGGGAGCCACGTTTCATCAACGGAGCCGGCCCACACTCCTTCACAGGCAAACACAAGCACACTGTATTTGGGAATCAAGCGCACACAAGGCGGTGGTTGGACCGTAGCCCGCTCCACACTGACTGCATGTAGCCCTCTCTTTGAGCCTAGCACGGCCACAAGGACCGTGCACCCCGTCCCCTCCAGGAACGACCAGCTGTCTCCTGGAGCCAGTATGAACGAGGTAGTGGGTAATAGATAGGTAGGCACCTTGTCAACATGCACATCAAGCCTAGCCACACCGGGGATATCAGAAATAGCCAATCACTTGAAACGACAAGATGAAATAAAATAAATCCAATAATGCATACAGATACGGTGACATAACTCTTCGATAAATTACCATATGAAGCAAGTTGGTTAGTAACGAATCCACGATAAGTAAAATATGTCCACAAGTTACTTAAAAATGCTACAGACGCAACAAAATTACCGAAGCGCAATTAGCCTAAGCAACGTGGCCAGCTAATAGAAGACTATCCATTGGCAAAACAAACCAAATAAACTGGAATGAAATTTATGCAGCTTAAAAAGGCCTAGTTTAAGTGCAAGTTGGTTTAGCCCAACTGCGGTGAAGAAGCACCAAGAATGCAACATCAGTCTCAGCATGGGGCACAACGTCTGTGTTATAGTGCCTTTCATTCGAGCCTAGGCTCCGGCTGGTCTACTTTTAATGATGTTATGGGATGGTCTCCATGTGCAATCTGCTCGTATTGAGTCAGAAAACACTTACCCTAGTTTATTTTATTGCTCCACTGTGCAAAGGTTGCGCTTTTCGATTAATATTCTCGGGCAGTTACAACTGGATGGCAAAATTAAGAGACTGTGAAACTAGTGAAAGCTCAGCATCTAATCGGTAAATCTCCATGTGAAGAGTATGATAAAGTTTGCACAGCCTGTTGGCCTAGAACGGTGCGTCATCGATCATTGACTTAGTCAGTCGGACTAGGTCAATTTTGGCTCTACTTCAGTTAGCTTATCAGCTCCATAATTTTGTTGTGTAGTTATAAATGCCTGAGACGAATTATCGAAAAGAACCTCTGCGTAATTTTGAGGGTCTGATTTCATGGGGAAGAAAACTTAAAGCTTATCTGTGTGTTTGTCTATTCGTCTACCGCTATCGTTTCGATGCAGTTACGTTCCAATTGCTTTGACCGTCACACCAGGGAACGAATCTATCGGAGTTAATTAGGGGGAAGGTGCAGTTCGCAAAGTACCATAACTCTGACAGAGGTATATACCGAAACATGGATATTACGCACTGGTGGCCATTCTGAACCCACCGTCCACTGCCGAATCGCAGTCTTTCGACCACTACTAATTTCAGCTTCGCCCCGCAAGGCTGAGCTGCAGTGGAGCCCCGTCACGTTTTCTAATTGCGTGTGGATCATCCAGTCCTTGTGAATAAATGCTGAGCATATACATTTTCAGTGAAGTTTAACCTTTTAAACTTTTAGATATTTCGATCAGTTTCATTGCAGATCAGCCCCTAAATCCTTTTACTGGCTCAAATGCAATATCGTCTTCTAGTACTTTTTTATAACCCTCTAATTCTATTTTTCTCCGCACAGCTCGAGCACGATCCACAGTCTCTCCTATCCGATGATGACGATGACGAGACTGCGGACATCGACCCTCAGGAACCAGTTTCATCTGCACATCCGCCAATTGACCGAATCCCTCTAAGACATTCATCTGGGTGCAGTGGACGTGTCCCCGTCTCCATGAGTAGCTCGTCCCAGTTGAGTCCGTTCGGATTTCAAAGTGAACCTTCAAATTCTACTACAGCAGTGAACAGCAAAACAGACGCGAGCGTGTCCCCGACGGATCGTGACCAAGTCACTCTGACCACTGCACTGATTGCCAGCCTGGCCAAACGGCTGGCGGACGAAGAGGAGGCTGGGTTGTTATCGGAAAATGATGATTTGGCCACCTCATGTCCGCCGTCACATGAGGCTATTTTACGTTTCACCGACGGAATGCGTACTGCAACAGAATTTTTGCGATTACCGAACACGGTAAGCGACTTCTTGGCTTGTCCGATCGCGCCACCTTTCCTCCTCTCCACAGCCCTAGCCTATTAATCTTACCTATACTTGTGGTTGCACAGCAGCAAAGCACCATTGGAAAGTACTGACATACTGCTGCTGCCTTCTTACACAAGCATTCTAAACATGCAATATGTGCGTAGCGATACAACTGATGACACAATGCTTTCCACAGACTAATCCTACTCAGCAAGTTACCACGACGGGGCTTGGTGCTTCTATTTCTTAGTACTCCGAACAAGACTCTGAGTGGGGTTTCACGGCTAGCTTCGAGACTCTACGTGCCAACCGTCTGCGTCGGGTTTTGTTTGCGCGAACACACTATTCTTTTCAACCATCGTACCTGGTTTTTGCTGCATCAATTCGTCAACTACCCGAGCAGAAACGGGATGGGGCACGATGCATGTAAGCGGTTCCCAGCAACAAGTGTGAAGCAAATGCCTGCGTTTTCTCTTGAAGGCAGCGCCGGTGGTCGGTCAACGCCATACAGCAATTGCTTATTGATGCTCTTTCCCTCCCGGTCTGGCGATTCACTTTTAGTATGTTGCGTTAGCGATGGGTGTCCGACTCTCCCGTGTGTGCTGAAGGCATGCCTCTTTTGTTGTACCGTTGTAATCTCGGTATACATTGTAGAGCGAATTTCACTCATCATGGTTAAAATCAATCTCATCTAGCGATTCCCGTTGTTCCCGCACCTGCCACAATGAAGTGTCTGCCGGATCACTCTCAATTGTTTGGAAACAAAGGTAATAAGATCACTGCTCTGATGAGTCCGTCGTAACGCATCGACAGCACTTTTAAAGACGGAGATGTTAGTTAACAGACACCATTTCGAAGCACCTCCTCAGCGTACATCTTGAAATATGCTTGGAACGGATCGAGAACTCATGATATTAGAAAGGTTTGAAAACAACAGGGCGGTGTAGTTCGAGGGCAACGTTTCCCTTTCGACGCAAAAGCTTTATCAGGCCAAGTGTACCAGCAAGTGGTTGGTGTGGCATTTATGACAAACTGGGACAATAATCTCGGCAATCGAGATGTAACTAGGAGGGTAATCACGTGAATAGAATATAGAATAGACATCAGCAATACGCCGGTACGCCTTACTGACACTTCGCTGTCGTGCAACCACCACCAGTCTCACGTGGGCTAAGGATATTGCGTGGGTCGCCCGGTCTCTACGCCCTCAGATTACAAGTCAGGTTCGTGATTCTTAGGGCTGCGTGCTGACTGATAATCGTGTTACACGTCAAAGTGTCATTTCCAGTGACACAATAATGGTAATATCCCAAGTGTTTCATTGTGCGAGGTCATCACAACTAAGTCTGTGTCCGCTATGGGGGTAGGAGTGGTTTGATGTTCGCGCTCTGCCCCAGATCCATCCGCCAACGTCAACCAGACTTGATAACTGCACCTTATCCACTTTGTCTACGCAGCTGTTAGTTTTAGTAATTTCCAACGCCTCAGCATAGATCGCAACCCCCTCCTATTGATTTTGACATAGTCCAATTCGTTCTCATGCCCTTTGGCTAACGCGTACATCGCCACCTCCGTATCTCTCAATGGAGCCCACTATTTAAGCTCATTCCTCAGTGGGCATATCTTGTGTTCTGTAACCCTCGTGCGCACTTCTCTAGCGGTTTGGCCTATCCACACGTGTGCACAGTCCTTGTAGTTAATTTTGTAGACGCAGTTGGTCGTTCTATCTGCAGGGAGTGAAACATTCAAATGTATCCGTATCAAACGGAGCTTTTGACCTTTTAAGAATTGCCCTCATTTTTCTTTTCTTTGTCTAATACCCTTCGGATGGCTTTTTAAGTTCTCTCTTTAAAAGGAATCCCTACCGTCCCATTCCGCTCTGGCCAGGACGGAATCCACTCTGGCTTTCTGGTATTCGGTCCTCACGGAGACCAGCAAGTCGTCGAAGAATCATACCCGTGAGATTTTTTGAGGCAATGGAAATAAGGTTAATACCTAGATTTTTTCACACAAAGTACGCTGACCTCACTTGAATGTGAGCACGACAGTTGATAGTCGCCAGTCTGAAGGCTCATCTTCTGTGTCCTAAATCGTGTTTAAAAACAGAAACAAGTCCGTTCAATCAACTGTCAACGCCATGTTTCAGCAAAGATGAGGGAACGTCGTCGTGTCCCGGGGCCTTGTTTCGTTTTAACACTGCGAGCTCATGTAGAATCTTTACCAAAGGCGGAGGTATGATATCTACTTCCGACTTCGTCTGAGGTGATTCGACAAGCGGCAGTGTCTCAGCAGTTCTGTTGAACTGCTCAATATGTTCCGCCCAACGAGCTACACGGAGAATGGATCGACAGTCCATCATTTTCAGCTATTGTCTCGCTAACTGATGACTTTCTCGGACCCCTTGTTCCGGATGAGGTGATATAACACCCGGCTGTATCCAATAGCACTGGCTTTCTCCATCTCCCGGGCCTTTGCAACCCACCAACGTACCTGGTCAACTCGAAGACTCCTTGTTAGACCTCGTTACAGGACGTTACGGACACGCTAAACTTCAGCGCCCATCGGAGCCTGTTTACGCGCTTCGATCAAATTGATCGGTGCTTCAGAGATCTATTCAGTTACAACATCTCAACACAGTACATACTCTGAGCCATTGACTCGGTATCACCAGACTTGCGGAGTGTGGTCATCGTCGTCAGATTCAAAACCAGGGAGTCGAAGGTTTGTCACAACGCTGTTATCTTGTTTGCATGTTTCGGAGACAGCACACAACAATACCAAGAGAGCGAGCGTTATAAGCACCAATGTGAAATGAGACTCGTGGTTTGATGCACGAGTTACGAGTATCGATGGCAGAGGCAGCGAAGTCAGCGTCAGGGAAGAATAGTTGAGAGCGCAGGGAAAAATACGAAGAAAAGGGAGACAAGTCGAGAGGGTAGATGATTCTCTCCGGCTGCCCATTCCGAGAGAGGGGTTTGGTTCGAGGTGCCTTTGACTCAACAATCTGACCCACAAGGCAATGGGGAGCAAGTCCAGCTTGGGAGTGTGATCGCAGAGACCTATTGGGATCTGCCTGAGGCCCGTCACACACAGCCTTAGAAGGTTTAGAACAATTCACATGTTTTACGACCGTAGTATGTTGGACATGTTGACAAGGTACCTACCTGTCTATTACCTCGTCCATACGGGCTTCAGGAGACAGTTGGTCGTTGCTGGAGGGGACAGGGTGCACGGGCCTTTTGGCCGTTTTAGGCTCGAATAGTGGTTTTATACACTTAGTATGGAGCGGACTACGGTCCAGCCACCGCCTTGTGTGTGCTCGATTCCCAAATACAGCGTGCCTGTGAAGGAGTATGGGCCGGCGCCTTTGATGAAACGTGGCTCCCATCCACATGCCTCCCGGTCTTATTCCTTCGGGTTAACACTGCATATGGGTTGTGTGGTTGGAGCTCTGGATGGTGCAGTGCAAGCCACCCATGGTCCCTCCGTAGGCGCAGGCATCCTGTGGCTAGCCACAGTGACAGGCAAATCCGAAACCGGATGCCGCCAACCATGTCGGGCACCTGCGACCACGGCCAGCCGCAGGTGGGAGTTGGCGAGGTTGCACCAATTTGACCGGGGGCTGCCTGGTTTGAGGAGGGTGGTAACAAACCATTGAGCACCGGAGAATGCGTGGTGCTCGTGCCAATTGATAGCCAGTGCTAATCTGTCTAATGCGGCTTGACACGTTTAGGAGCTGTCACATATTAGGGCCATATCGTCAGTATACTCCAAGTCAAGAATTCGCTCACTAGGAAGTGGCTCCCCACCTTGTAAGTCGTGTCCATCTAATGCTGTTTTCATGGCTTTCTCAATGGCTCAGTTAGAGAAAAGATGACGGCGGGCAACCCTATTTTACACCCTGGCTATGCGCGTACAGCGCTTTGATAATGTTTACATGTTTATTGGGCACACCCTGAGCAGATAGTACCTAAGGGCACACTGATCCACCGAATCGGAGGCACGTTGATGTCGAGAAACACGACTACGATGGTAATGACAGTGCCACAATACTTGACCTACTGTGAAGATGTGGTCGATGCAGCCTCGATTTCAACGAAACCCAGCTCGCTCCTCACGAGTGCCAGTCAGTCTGTGGAGAACGATAGACACAAGCAATTTAGAGGTTCTTGTGCTCCCAGTCATCCTTCTTTGAAAATCGGGATTGTGACGTAGTGACTTCATTCTGTTGGGACAGTCTTCTGCTCCCACAGCTTCACTAGTTAGTTGTGCAACGCATCTACAAAGCAGGTCCCCCGAATTTAAAGAGGGTTAGGGAAGTTTATCTGCTCCTGCGGTCTTATACACTTTCAGCAGCCTGATTTCACTTTTGACTTCTGTGTCTGACGTCGCATCTAAGTGGATAGCCCAGGGAAAAGGGCAATCAGTGCCCGCAAAAGAAATTGGTAACTCAGGTTGATTAAACAGTTCTGCAGTGTTCGGCCCAACGCTCCAAGCGTTTTGACAAGCTGTGGATCGACTGTCCACTCTCGTCGCATTTGGTCCCGTCAACACCAGGTTTCCTGTTGCCCCTTTATCGTATCAGACGGAATAACCTCCGACGATTACCAATTGCAGCGACCGTCTCCATCTCCGAGACATAATTTGACCACCAGACTTCGCGGTCTCTCTTCAGGCTAGCACGCAGTTTCGCCACCATAGCTTTACAAGTCTCGTTGTATTCGCTTCCAGCCGGAACATGTTGACTAACAGCCAGAAGTTCTCGAGACTGTGTAGAGTCCCAATGTCTAGATTGGCAGTTTGATTTATAACCTAAAAACATACCTACTGATGGTAACGTCTGGCGGATATGCAACCAGTGTCCTTCAAAGGTATTCATTGAGCGCTTACTCTGCCCAGATGCCAGCGTACTTTTATAAGCATTCAGAACGCTTGGCTTCACCAGTTCGCTGGTGTCTACGCGCTGACAGCGACCTTGCGGATGTCCGCCG